AAACCATCCTGGTTAACACGGCGAAACCCCGTCTCTACTAAAAATACAAAAAATTAGCCGGGCGTGGTGGCGGGCGCCTGTAGTCCCAGCTACTTGGGGGGCTGAGGCAGGAGAATGATGTGTACCTGGGAGGCGGTGCTTGCAGTGAGTGGAGATCACCCCACTGCACTCCAGCCTGAGCAACAGAGCGAGACTCTGTGTCAAAAAAAAAAAAAAAAAACAAATAAGTAAAAAATAAAGTCATTCAGGAAAGTGGACGACTAATAGTTTCTAATCTAGACAGCACAGGAGAAGAAATGTTTATCACACACAAAGTATTAGTGCCTGTTATATCACCAAGACAAAACTAACAGGAAAAAGACAAACACATTATAGTGAAAACATGTGTTTCCTGACCAACATCTATTCTGCATGTTTCCTGATGCCAGAAACTCACATTTCCTCAGGGGAAATCCCCCTTCCCCACAATTCTCAGGCTTTAAGTTTATGTAAAATTCTTTAAACCCAAAGATTCAAGTTATGTGCCTTGATTAACTTAAGCAAATAAATGAAACCCATCCCCATAGCCACAGCGATTGGTTAGGAATTGGGTTCCGAAGTCAGTCAAATCTGAAAGGGCCTAGTGATGCTTTTTCCAACGGGAACACAGACTCACTCTTCACGGCAGAAAATGAACAAGGATTCACGTAACACTGGCAGGTACTGGCAGCCACCCAGGGCCGCTCACGGGAAAGGGAGATCAGAAAGAGAAGCAAAGAGGACTCATGAGATACCACAGGGCTGCTGCGTCCAGCCTTGCCTGGAGTTAGGGCCGCCTCGATGCCCTGGAGTCTTGGAGCCACAAGGTGCGTTTACTCAAAGCCTCTTAGAGTTGGGTTTGCTTGTTTGCTTTCTGCCTGGAAACTGCCAGCATCCTGAGAGATACAGAGATCTGTATCTGTGCAGAGACACAGGGTCTGTTAAAAGTCACAGGCCCTGACTGAAGTGTGGAACTGGCTGAAACGGGAAAGTAGGAGGTGACTTGGTGAGGACCTTGTGAAATGAAAGTGAGTTTTAAACCTTACATGCATCAGAATTACCTGGAGCCTTGTTAAAACACAGGTTGCTGGGCCCTGGTCCATTAAGAAAGGAAGTGGGGCTGAGAATGTGCATTGCTACCATGTTCCCAGGTGATACTCACCATGTTGTCCTATCTGGGCACTACCTTTTGCAATCCCCATTACAAGGTATTGCACATGCTGGTTAAACTATGGTCTGTCTTATTTTGGTGCTAAAAGCCTGTGCCAAATACCAAGGCTGCAGCATTAAGAAATTTGATAGAAAAGATTCTGCATATTGGAATTTAGTAGCTATGTATTACATCAGTAAGGTCCTTTAAGAAAGAGTTTAAGCTACTTTCAAATGGGCCCATCTGAAATTGAAAAAGAAGAAATGCAACTTGCTAAAAAGGCCCTTCCAGCCTGTTGACTGAGAATCCAGTAATTTGGAGACTTGAAGGGCTGTAAATGCAGAATTTTCTACTCTAAGATAAAGTTAGCATGAGCAGAGACAGGAAGATGAGAGACCTAACGAAGCCAAGGGTCAAATATTCATCACTTCCACATGGGCCCAGATGCAGGCAGAGGTCTCTTGCCAAGGGCTGGGAGGTCGGGGTGACAATGGTGGTGAGGTCTGTGCTAGAAAGTCCACATCCCCGGCCGGGTGCGGTGGCTCGTGCCTGTAAGCCTAGCACTTTGGTAGGCCAATGTGGGCAGATCACGAGGTCAAGAGTTAGAGACAAGCCTGCCCAACATGGTGAAACCCTGTCTCTACTAAAAATACAAAAACTTAGCTGGGCTTGGTAGCAGGCACCTGTAATCTCAGCTACTTGGGAGGCTGAGGCAGGAGACTCGCTTGAACCCGGAAGGCAGAGGTTACAGTGAGCCGCGATCATGCCACTGCACTCCAGCCCAGGTGATAGTGGGAGATTCCATCTCAAAAAAAAAAAAAAAAAAAAGAAAAAAAAAAGAAAAAAAGAAAAAAGAAAGTGCACATCCCCAACCCCAGTTAAAATCCAAATGTGAACTATGTAACTGACAACTTCTCTGCTTCTGGCTACTTGGCCCATGGAATTGATCAGAAACAAATAGTAGCCTACGGACATTAGAGGGCAGTCACGTTGCCAAAGAAACCACAAGACTGGTTCCAAACAGTCGTTGATTACACAATACCTAAGGCAACCTCAGGCTAACTCACACAGACGGGAAGTCAGCAGCCTCCAGAAAGCAGATCCTCCACATTGCACATCTCAGATTGTCCATGGAGTACGTTCCCTCAGGGAGGAGAGCTAAGGACTGTCAGACTGGCTGCACTGCTTAAAAATGCAATTCCCATTCTCCCGTTCCCTGACGGGGTCTTTGTTCAACTTACTCTGTTTGTTCATAACACTTGTATTTAGGGAATGTTGGGCATGATTAAACTTTGTTTAGCTTTGGGTTTCTGGGCCTTGAGAAACAATTCAGTGAAGGCAAGTGTTGTACGCACCTATATTCTCCTGAAAGCCCATAAAGAAAGAATGATGACACCTTCACTGCATCTATGGGGACAAAAGCTGCTCGTGTGTGTGTGTATGTGTGTGTGAGTGAGAGAGAGAGAGAGAGAAAGAGAGAGAGAGAACAACCTTGTCAAAAGGGCGTGCTTGTTGCTGTACCCTCATTATATGAAAGTCATCATGGCATCAAAACGCTGTAAGCCAGGCTGAGCTCGATCCTCTCTGCATCAACTCAGAATCCCGACAAGAAAGCAGTTGTGATGGATGGAATCTCACCCATCAAAGAATAGGGTACGGTGAGACCAGAGAGGTAAGCTATGCAAGCTAATCAGAAAATAACTCAAAGTTTTAAAAGTGCAGAATATAAAAAGGAAAAACCCTCATTCCTAAAAAAAAGAAAAGAAAAGAAAAGAAAAAGCCTCATTTCTTCAAAGAAGCAACGGTTAGCTATTTGATGTGTATCTTTCAAAATATTTGCCTATGTAAATATATATGTGTATATGGCTTTAAAAAATAAAACAAAATAGTATCCTTTACAGATAGTTCTGTAGCATATGTAGAGAATATATATTCATATACTGGATGTAAATAGATACGCCTTTTACAAATAATATTATGGATGCTTTCCACAGATATAGATGTGTGCTACTGTTTTTTACTGACTGCAGAATGTTCCATTGATGGATGTCTTAATCCTCTACTGATTAATCCCCTAGTGATGACCGTTTGCATTTCTTTGCTCTTTACCAACCATACTGCAAAGAATATCCTCATGTTTACATATTCTTAGCTTTTGGCAGTGTTTCTATAAAGCAGATTCCTAGAAATGGGATCAGGTCAAATGGGATGTGGGTCACATAGTATGTGCATTTTAATATTTGCTAAGTAGTAGTGTTTAATCACGCCTTAAAGAGTTTGAACCGTACAATTCTAAACATGTTTGGACATAAAAATTAGATTATTTTAAATAAAATGAAATAAGTATAGCTCTTAAAAATTAACACGTTTGGTTTTCACACAAATATTTTGAATTTCTCTTTCTTCTGCAAAAAGGATCCTAACTTAGTATGCACTTCTTGTACATGTAATGCAAGCAATTCATCTAATAAATAACTTAACCTTTCACAGTAAACCTACAGATAGCATCCTGCTCCACACAGAAGCTGGACGTCTTTTCCTTCTCTAACGTTAGCTGTTTATTTTGTAGAGTGTAGATTCTAGAGAAATAATGTATAATACACCTGTTGCCATATGTGGATACTTACCACATTTAGAAAACAGTGGTGAATTCTATTGACAGTGGCTCTTAGTCATTAACATGCTGTGGAACAGCTCATGAGCTTGATAAAAATATCAGTTCCCAGGTCTACACCTAAAGATCCTGTTTAAGTGGCTTCAACAATCACTGCTCAAACACTCTATGTCAACTCAGAATCCTGACCAGAAAGTGGTTGCAATGGATAAAGTATCATCCGCTGAAGAATAGGGTAAGATTTGAGTATAGGTGGATCATGTTTCGGGAAATAACTTGGTCAGTGGTTAACAGCATAGTCTGTAGTTCAATAAAAGTCCAGTTTTGAAATGCAATTGACATTTTACGTGCTGTATAACCTCAACCAAGTTGCCTAACCTTTCTGAGCCCTGGGTTACTTTTCTGTCAAATGGAGGTATTAATAGTACCTAAGCTGTACTATTGCATTGGTAAGATTAAATGAACAATGCATAAAAAGCACTCAGTAGGAGTAAGCCTCAACAATGTAAGTAATTGCTATTAAAAGCTTGATTCATCATGAATATGCGCTACAGAATACTCTGCTTAATGGTATCCATTCAAGTAGCGAATTCTCCTAGAGCATGCATATTACGAATTGAGTTATAACATATTCGTAGTTTCAATGTTCCAGAACTGTGCCTCCGTTGTAAAGTGGATAACTATGTGGTAGCCCTCCCCATCTCTCCCAATTTCCCTCCATTTCACCTCTTCCTAATCTTTGCCTATGATTCCTCTTAACCAGTGATTTTGATTTGCCAGAAAAACAAAACCAAACTCAATACTGGTTTACCTTTTAAAAGAGCATCTTTATTATTTCCCCAGGCCGATCACAGCCCTGAACAAAAGCATCCGATACACATTGGTCAGTCTGGTGGCTTTGGTACCATGACTGTTTACAGCAGGCCAGTGACAGCCAGTCACTTGTCACCAAACACAGTGTGAGGGAAGGGGGAGGGCACAGGGGAACTCTCAGAGCAAACAATCACAAACACACTGTGAAATCGAAAATAAATTACACAAACTAAATAGTATAAATAAATAAAAATTTAAGTTAAAATGAGTCCCACAGTGGCTGTTGGGCAACAACCAGTCCATAGAAGAGGTAGCTGTGGAGGTCACAGGGATGTTCCCAAGGCTCAGGCTCCTGCTCCCCACTGGGTCCACCGAGGTCGCTGGACCTCGAAGCTTCCGGACCCCTCAGGCACTCAGCTCCAGGTCGCTGACGTATTTCTGGACCCACTCCTTACTGGGGTCAGCACAGACCTGCCGGCCTCTCTTGGTTAGGAAGCTGTGGAGAATGGAGGAAGGTTAAGCACTGGGGAATCCAGCAGGGGAATCCTGGGCCCACCGTGGCCGCTCCATCCCGCTCTCTGTCCTGCGCAGCTCAGGGCATGCTCCTCTCTCAGCGACCCCTGCCTGTCTCCATCTAGAGAGCTTCTCTCAGGGACTCCGGGCGGGGGGCTCTCAGAGGGTCCTGCTGCCTCCTTCTTCCTGTCCCTTTCCTCCGCGCTGGGGCAGCCCTTCCTGACTCTGTAACACCTGCCCCACTCCAGCCCCAAGTCAGGTCACACCTCGGAGCCCTGCGTCCTGTACCCCCGATAGGCTCCGGAAGGCTGGGCCTTTCCAGGATGGCCTTCTGGCCTGTCTGTGCCCCGACCCTGACACTCCCTACTTCCCTAGAGGCGAGCAGGAAGACTGACACTTACATGACACCGGGCTTGGAGCACTGGCTGTTGGTCTCAAAGTAGTCAGCTATGAAATTCTGTGGAATCTGCCGGGAGATGTAGCTGAAGCAGCAGGAGGTCGGGGTGTCAGCAGCAACTGTGGAGAAAAGACGATAAGCCCGAGTCAGAGATCAGAAGAAAAGGCCAGGCAGCTTCTGATCCCCGAGTGGTTGAGGAAGGCAGGCTTGCTCAGACCAAGTGACCAGAAGGCATTTGGGCGTTTTTGCTGAGAAATGTCTCTTTGTTTCTATTTCCTTCTTTCCCTTGACTCTTCATAGTGGGTTCTCTGTTTCTCTGTGTGATCCAGATACCTGAACAGACTGTTCTCTTATCTCAGCTCTCTTCAGGGAATTTTGTTTAGTTCAAGAAGTCAGACCCCAGCCCAAGAGAAGCCTTGGACATCTCTCATAAGACATCCAAGGGACAGGGCTCCTGGGAGACCTAGGGTAAGCTGGAGAGTGAACAACAGGCCCCAGTGGGAAGGAATCAGCCCTGGATTCTGCCTCTTGCTAACTGATTTGTTTCGAACCCTGTCTTTCTATCTGTACAAGGGACTGTAACTCCCCTGCCCCTGCCTAGATTCTCATACCTGGAGACTAGGGGGCTAAGATCCCTTCTATAGATAAAAATAAAAGTCTTGAAGACAAAGACCTAGATGTTTGGCAGCCCTTTAATAAATTCTCTTTTCTCTTGGGGCTCTAAGGCCACAAGAAAAGACTGATGTGGTCTAACCATGGCCAGAGAGTGGTGATACCCACAACGAAACTTGGACTCACATGTTGCTGAGATCCGGTTGCAGAGAGCCACGGTGCAGAGGAGGACGGCAAGGGCAGCAGTGGAGACCTGCATGATTCTGAGCAGGTGATGGAATGTGGGCTCGAGTGTCAGCAGAACCAAGAAGGGACTGACCCCTCTCTGCTGCCTGTGTCCTTCTGAAGTCTGAAGCCATCTCTCCTTCTCTTTATAGGCAGCCCTGGCGGATGGGAAAATGGAATCTGGGGGTGAGGAGGGAAATTTTTAAGCGTAGTGATGCTGTCATGCTGAGTGTTGCACAATTCAGGGTGCCCGGTGACCACAGGGGCTCAGGATATCCAAGAATAGCATCTCTGAGTGATTCTCTAACTCTCAACTCTCAACCCATGACTGGTTCTAGCTTCATGGGGAAATGGTTTCTCCTGTGAGTGTGAAGAGGAGTGTGTGTCAACCCAAAGCTATTCTTAGCTGGTCCTTTCTCATAAGAACAGGTCTATGCATGAACTCTCCGGCCCCATTCCTTCCCACAGAGCTGCAATTCTGCTTCCTCAGCTGCTATAACCACAGGGGTAGGGTTGATGGGGTGATGCTGTGGAGGGCTGCACAACCCTTCCTCCTCCCAGAGGCAAGGAACTGAATGAAAGCTGAGGAATAGAAAGCATGAGGTCACGTTTCAGTCATTTGTCTATTTATTAGTCACGGAGTGACTAGGGCACTGTGTTAAACGCTAGTTGTGGATCATAAAAATACTTGAGAGGTGGGTGTCAATACGTCAGGTGCCTAGAAATATTCATAGCCATTAACCTAGAAAAAACATTTCTAGGAAAGAGTTCTGTGGAAACAGCCCAAATATGGAGCCATCTTCAAACATAAAGACCCCCGACCCAGCGTCATTTATAACTCTAAATTCAGCAAAGCTCATTTCTCTCCATCAGGGGATGATAAATTATCCACTAGATCATTTATTATTAAGTCTCTAAAATGAATGAAGTGGCATAAATATGCTTATAACATCAGTGGTTTAAAAAAAGCAAGATACGACATTATGCAAATTCTACAAACTTTGAAGAATTGTACAAATGTATTTATATATTTGTACAATTATATAAATATATATATTTATTATATATATATATATATATATATACACACACACACATACACTCCTTGCCAACCCTAGGCGTGGAAAAAAATACAAAGGCTTGGAAATACAAACCTTGAAGAATGAATAGTGCTTATATGTGTGTGATAGGTCCCTGGGTGATTTAGTTTCTTATTTTTTTCTTTTTCTGAATTTTTCTCATTTTACTTAGTAAGACTTTATTACCTTCTTGGTCAGCCCACAAATTCATGAACTAATTTTGTTTTAAAACATTTCCAGCATCACTGGTTGAAAAGTGGGTTGTGGTCAGTTGTTTAATCTGAAAGAAATTATTGATAAATACGCTAAAGTTTCTGTTCAATGGTCTTTGCCAAAATGAAGTCTTGATTTTCCATTTCTTTGAACCATTTTAAGGATCCTATACTGTACTTACATAAATCATGCCAAACTGAAGCAGGTTTTTCCTTATTCTTTTTAATACATAATTTCAGTGGTGTGGAAGGGTCTCTACCTTCTCAGCCAGATTATTTGCTTTTTTTTTCTTTTCCGTACTTTGTTATTTTATTCTTTCACAATCAATCAGTATACCTCATTTTATAGTGAGAAATAGATTTAGTTGGTTTTAATAATCTTTTTTTCTGAGATGCCCCTGGTCTCGTGGGGGCAGGTAGAGTATGTGAACAGGTAATTGTAGCACTTAGCAGAAAGTGCTAAGACTCCTTATAGAAAAAGAAATGAAAGCTCAGAACCCCACGAGGGGAAGAAGTGACCTTCCACCAGAGGGTTGGGGAAGGCTTCATGGAAGGGATGGAACTTTAGTTGTGTCTGGATAACTGCCCGGGATTTAGGCATCTGTAGATGGGTGGGCAGTGGAGGCCCAGCTGAGGCAGAGTCCTGGGTGTGACATTGTGGGCTCAGAGGAAAGAGGGGGTGCTTCAGTGGAGCTGCAGAGTGGTGGCTGAATATGGACGATAAAGCTAAATTGGGACCAAACCAGGACAGGCCTTGAATTCCCCCCAAAGGGATTAGAGTTGATATGTCTAATGCTAGAGAACAACGGAGGACAGAAGCCAAGTGGGACCACGCCTTTGGAATTCTGTCCTTCCTAAGTGTCTGTAGAGTTAGGTCTTTTAATACACATGAGCTCTGTTTCCATCCCACCCCAATGATGGCTAGTGCCAGTCTTGAGGGAGGAGAAGCAGAGGCAAGATCAGGGGCCGTGGTAGGTTTCACTGGAGCTTTGGCATCCACGTATCTTCCCCTATTGCTACCAATTCCAAATAAAGGTATGTCTGCCACTTGTTTCATTAGAAACCTACATCACAGCAATGCCTGCTTCTCACCTCACCCTCTGCCTCCCAGCTCTCGGTTGATACCCTGAATTGCATTCCCTCACTCACTTCTTAGGGGAACCCCCTCCATACTCGTGATTCTGTTGCTGAGAGCTGGCTTCTGTGATTTGCAGAGGGCCAGAAAAGGAAATGGAAACTGCTGAACCAGTCAGTGTTCTGGCTAGGGGCATCCTCTGCCTCTGTGATTACTGCACAGTGTGTTATAATTAGTTATCTATGTAACTTTCTCTTCAAAAATCTAGACCATGTCCTGTTGATTTTATTTTAGTTTATTTTTCTCAAGAAATTTGCAGTTTAATGAAGGCAATGTGGGAGTTTGGAAACAAACTTTTATTTCGTGCTAATGATAGATTAGCAACTACACAAATTTTAGTTCACAATAAGTAATATTTACTGAGAGACCACCATGCACCAGTTTCCATAATAGGGATTTACATGTTTGAACTGTTACTCTTCAAAACAGCCCTATGATTTAGTTACCATTATACTTTCTCAGTTGAACAGGTGAAGAAACCAAAGTAAATAGAGGTTAAGCAATTTTCCTAAGGCCATAAAGCTGATGACTAGCAGAGCAGGGATTCAAATCCAGGTAGTCTGACTCTAGGTACAACACACTACACGTTCTGTACCACAACTTATTATATTTGATCCTCACAACAATCCTATAATGGCAGATTTTTTAGAGTGTCTTCTCAGATCATAAACCAACTTCAGACCGTGTCTTGTTGGTTGATTTAAACCAAATCCTAGCACATGATAGTTATAACACGATGAGCCTCCAGACCTAGTCTCTATCTCTTATTATTGTGATCTTTATAATAAAGGTGATTTATTGAATATATAATTCTATTTCAGTGTTTATATATTAGTAAGACTTTCCCTATCAATCCCCAAACCAGGAAATATATTCCTTTACCATGTGTTTTTGCTTGGAGTGAAATATGGTTGCATACGTAGCATGTGCTTAATTTATATACCTTGAACGAACAATGTAAAGGAGATGTAGGACGGGGTTGAGTTGGGAGGGTCTTAGGCATTTCCTGGGTGGTAAATTGATGTTCCCAGTTGAAATAACGAACCCAGGGTCATGCAGGTGGAATTGGTCAGTTTTATATTCCACTGTCTGTGTTAGTTACCAGTGTATCTCCAGTGATAACCACAATGCCTGACATATAGTGAAGCATAATATCTATTTGATGAATAAATAAATCACTGATTTGACTAACAATATGTGTTATGCCTGAACTCTCACTATGGAGTTGAAATACTAATGGGAAGGGTAGGATAAGAAAGGCCATGGTGAGTGGGAGGGGGGAGAGGATCAGAAAAATAACTAATGGGTACTAGGCTTAATACCTGGGTGATGAAATCATTTGTACACCAAACCCCCATGACACAAATTTACCTATATAACAAACCTGCACATGCATCCAAACACACACACACACACACACACACAGAATCAGGAGAGAGAGTCAGAAATGTGATGGGTCTCCAGAGCCAAGGAAGAATCTTTAAATAAAATGAGAATTGAAGCGGGGCACGGTAGCTTATGCCTGTAATCCCATCACTTTGGGAGGCCGAGGTGAGCAGATCACCTGAGGCCAGGAGTTTGAGACCAGCCTGGTCAACAAGGTCTCTACTAAACATACAAAAAACTAGCCAGGCGTGTTGGCACATGCTTGTAGTCCCAGGTACTCGGGAGGCTGAGGCAGGAGAATCACCTGAATCCAGGAGGTTGCTGTGAGCCAAGATCGCACCACTGCAACTAGCCTGGGTGATAGAGTGAGACTCCATCTTGAAAAAAAAAAAAAAAAAGAAGGTGAATGTCCTGATAAAGATGCAATTTGAAAGAGAAATGTAAATTAAACTTATATAAAGAAGTTTTCAGTAACTTGGATCTAAAAGAATATGATTTGCTTTAGAAAGAAAGAAAGAAAGGAAGGAAGGAAAAGAAAGAAAGAAAAGAAAGAGAAGGAGAGAGAAAGAAAGAAGAAAGAGAGAAAGAAAGAGAGAAAGGAAGAAAGAAAGAAGAAAGAAAGAGAGAAAGAGAAAGAAAGGAAGGAAGGAAGGAAGGAAAGAAAGAAAGAAAGAAAGAAAGAAAGAAAGAAAGAGAAAGAAAGAAAGAAAGAAAGAGAAAGAAAGAGAAAGAAAGAAAGAAAAGAATGGAAGGAAAAGGCCATGGTGTCACGGTCTTGATATTTGGGAAACAGACCACCCAAGATTCCTCAGGTGGTGGTGACAGAAAGTAGCCAGCAGTCCACACTGTGGACCCTTCAGCATGGAGGGATTTGATTTGTGTCCCAGCGTTCTGGCTCATTTCAGCCTCTGTGAGGCCCCACCTTGGTCCAGCAGAGCGTCCCAGTCCTGAGCGTGGGGAATCCTGGCTGAGCAGTTTGTCCTCTGCGGCGTCTTTCCCTTGCACTGTGTGCTGCTGCCTGTGCTCTGGCGCGGGGCATTGCTTTCCTTCCAGATTCAGGCCCTGAGGCTCCACTTCCCCGAGTGTCACCCCCGCCATCTCTTTTGGCAGCAGGCGCCCCAGGGATGGGTTCACTGATGATGACACCCTGTTCGGCCCAGCTTTGGCCTCCTTTTCTCATATGTGGTCTGCGTGGTCAGGTTGCAGCAGGTGTGGGCCCCGC